ATGGATTAGATAGTAGATTTGTTTTTTGATATTTTGCCAAAAATGTTATAATCCATATCGAGCTACTTAAAAAAAGTATAATAAAAATTATGTGTCACCGAACCCGATGACAACCTTCAGGTTGTAAACAATTGATAAATTTTGGAAGAATTGTTCAAGGAAAAGTCATTCTTATGTGAATAGAAAGAAAAACCAAATGACAGAATTTTAAAAAAAATATGAGAAAATAGCTCTTATAAATTGCATAAAGATAATTTCAAGAGAGAATGGGCTCAGCTTTCACTACGTTGTATAATACAAAGTAGAAAACATGATGTTTACATTCCTTAAAGTTTATGAAATTAAATGAAATCATAAAACAGTTGCGATAATAAGATATAATCTTCTAAATTTCTTCATTAAAATGAAAAGTGTAACATAGAAATTGCATTGCTGCCTCAAATTTGTTCATTTCAATACTAATAATAACGGTAGAAATTGCAGACATAAACAGATCAGATTCCTTATAATGAAATGAAGACGCTTCTGTCATTTAAAATGTAATTCAAACAAAGAGTACATTTTGCTTATGATAATACTGATGGTTTTAAATTAGATCCTCTTTCATCATAAATGTTCATAACATTGGCTATAAACGCAGTATACCATATGATAACGACATATTATGATTGAAACTGACGTAAGAACAGGAGGTCTCTCTTTGATGTTTCTGACGCTTAGAATAAGCAATTAATTACAAACGTTTGAAGGTTCCATATGAGGTAATCGGAGATTCTCACTAACAGCAATGAAATGCAAGATGACGTTGAATATCAGTTCCATTGACGTGATAGTGAATATGGTGTTGCCAAATTGTATTGTTTCAAGTACAGTGTAGTTTTAAAAATTATTTTTTTACCTAATTTGATTCCAATCAGAATAAGCAAATGTCGAAGTCACCTCTAATGTTCAAATTTTATAGTCAATAAAGACGCAAAGGGGAAAACAGTGTAAAACACATGGACTCTAAACAGCAATTACTGCTATTCATGCACACCCTGTCATGCAATTACTATAGTAGTAAATAGAAGGTCAATTAAGAATTTTACGTCACCGGTATATTGAAAGACAATAATTGACATGTTGGATATTTATCAAAGTCTTAACAGACCAATAGAAAGTTAAAACACGTATTTGACCCCAAAGAGGTATGGTCAACTTCTTTCATAGAATCAACATAGAAAACAATGACAAAACTTTAGGAAAGTTAGATATAAGAGAGTCCAAAAAGTATACTCTGTACTTCTTGTTTCATTCGTCAAGTTTTTCATCGATATTTCGATTTACCTCTGTCTTTATATTCTTTTCATTGATATAAAAAAAAAAATTTGCAAACTTGATTTCGCTCCTTTCGGTTTGTCATTTTTTTGATAATCTAATTGTCAAACAAAATTTAAACGGGTTCGTGTTGCTCATTGTTAAGATTGTGAATTTTGTGAATCGTTTTGAGGGCTGTTTTGGGGTTGTTTTTTTTTATGGAGGTCAGGGCCAGGGCTTAGAAATTAATTACAGGAATATGCTACATGTAACTGAATTTGGACCATTGTATCCCTTTGGTATCATCTGTCTTTCCTCGATGACCATTTGAAATCATAAAGAAATTAAACAACTCATGACTTGCGCGGCAAACAACCTCGTGTTTACACATTTGTACAACACAAAATGACCAAACAAAATAGTTACCAGGCCATGTGTGCTTGGTATCTCTTCATCCTGTGCATACACGTGTAAAAACATTTGGAACAAAATATATAAGTAAAATTCACCTCGAATGCGGGAGGTCGTGGGTTTGGACCCGATCGGGTCAAACCAAATACTTTAAATGGTATTTGCTGCTTCTCCGTTAAGCACGCAACATTAAGAAGTAAGAACAAAGAATGGTCGGTCGGAGTTAGAATAATATGTTCAGGTAGAGTAACATGTCGTCCTGCGGACTGTTACCTTGTGAAATAGCACGTTAAAAATTCGGGCCAGTGTGCCGATCTAGTACAAAACAGGGTTAATCTTCATATTACATTAAAATGTTATCGTCCTGAATATGCATTTATTTTGTCAATGGACTTTAAACAGCCATACATCGTCATCATCATCAGCATGTTTAATTTCTATATGATTGACTCAATGATTGACATGAAATGGATTTAAATTCACTTTTCTAATTTGTTGATTCAGTTCCTCATTTGTTTCTTGTCGTCTAAATATAAGAACTGATAAACGGAAGCAGTAATAGCTAATAACATTTTATGTTGCGAAACCAATTTTCCAATCTATTTTCATACTGATTGTAGCTTTCGATTTCCAATGGAGGATATTGGAGATTTCCCTTATTTGGAGAGCAATTGTTGAATTATCATTTCGTCAATAGCGATTCGACACTGATATAAAACCTCATCCACGGATAATGTCAAGTTGCCATCCTGAATGACATAACCAGATGAAGATTCTGTGAATGATGCAAATTTTCATAAACAAAATCAATCAGAGTTGAATTCGTATATGTAAATGATAACTTGTTGCTCTCCAGAGTAAAGGTCTGAAATAAATGAGATAAGCTAAAATAAGGATTTTAACTACGTTAACTCTCTTTTAATTGATGGTTGGCATTTCATGATCTAAATGGTAAGAGGGTTGACATGGATTTTGTTTTGATATATATAGCAATGATATATTGTAAAAACAAATTGGAACTATTACATTAAATCCGAGGCATTTACATCGTATGGTGCATATATATATGTACATAACAAAAAACTCACTTAGTAAGTTATTTATTTAATTTTTTCATTTAATATAACTTGTGGTTAACATTAAATATGCCGTTGAAATGTAGTTCACTACATACTGAAAGACAGTTTCTGTTTTTCATTATTGTATAGGTTTGAAGATTCAATTTGGATTATATATATATTTATTCACCATATTTGTATTATCTTCAAGATTGAAAACGCAAGTAGAGAAGTGATGTTTGGCAGGAATTGTAGTTTTCAAATCTACTTCATTAATTGCTTTAAGACGATATTAGATAATCTTAAATCTATGTTTTTTCCAGTTAATCAGGAAAAAAAATCTGCACGTTTTGTGACGCCATGCACCAACATAATTCCGTTTCACAGTTAAGTCGTAAAATGTATTACATCATGTCTACTTCAGTGTACACAATGAACAATGAGGTTGATATTGCTTGTTTGTTAGTAGGACCGTGAAATCAATATTGCCAATTGAAAGAGTAACAATAAGTATTAGTTTCAAACCATGGAACAGATAACAAAACGACGACTGAAAACCTGCATGACCAGTTTGATTCATTACTATTTTGATCTGAGCGTCACTGATGAGTCTTATGTAGACGAAACGCGCGTCTGGCGTATTAAATTATAATCCTGGTACCTTTGATAACTATTAATATATGATAAAGAAGTTGTGAATCAGCTAACACACAGAAAACTTAAATTGTTTCCCCTAAGTACATGTACACACTAATAGAGTTTTACCTACAAGGATTGTCAGTTTTCCTGTCGAAGGTCGGTGGTTCTCTCCAGGCACTCAGGCTCACTCCACCAATAAAAACTGACTGCCACGAAATAGCTAGTAGTGCTGAAAATGGCGTTAAAAACAAATGAATCAATCAATATAGTTTTACATGTATGTAAGTAAGGTTGAATTCTCTGGGTTTTTTTTGCGCAAATAAATTGTTAATCAAAGTAAATGGCGCATGAACCTTAAAAAAGACATTTCGACTATGAGAAACTTGAAAAAAAAATAAGTAAAAGAAAGTTTTAAAAATATATATCCAAAATCATATTTCTTTTTCAACAATCTATAATGGACGAATGATAATTTGTTTTTAAAGTTTTTATAAGAGTTGTAAACTGTGATCCCCAATGAATTACGAAAATTACCTTATTATGCTGTTAGTCCCCAAAATTTAATGATACGAACAATGCATATAAATGGTGGATATTACACTTCTTGCAAAGTGTTTTTAGAATCAGATTATAGTTGCGCATACGATATGCATATTGGCCCTATCAATCATGCGAAAGCTTCAGACTTATAAGGCTATGAGAGACTCCTGAAATCATGATTAAAATCAATCTTGCGATACTTAACATCCTGTGGAGGAGAAGGTACAAGTTTGATTGCTTTCTTGGGAATAATTAAAAGAATGATTAAAGAAAGAAGAAAGTGTGATGACAGCTACGACAAAAACGATATACAGTTAATGTGGACGCTTTTGAACATATTCATTACAAAGAGTACGTTCGATTCTGAAACAACGACTCAAAGTGTCTCATTTGAGATTAATTATGAAAAAACCTCAGTTACTATCGGTCACCAGCCATCAGTCAATTGAGATTTTTTTTTATTCGTTAATTTAATATCTGTGACATATTGTCTACTTTAAATGACAAAAGGATCATATATTTACAAAATCATGATTTAGCATTAAAGAACTTCAATATATTTCATGAAACAAATATTTATTTCGCTGACTAAAGTAATTCGTTATTACAGTTGAGTTCCCATTACATTTAATTACTTTATGGTGTCGTAAAAGATTTTCCAAACTATATTTTTGGTTTGATAATAAATTTCTTTAATCTCAAATGGTAGAAAATTTAATAATCAGAAAGGTGTTAATTAGACTTTCACATTTCCATGGTTACAACTCTTATATAGAATAAGAAGGCAGATTTTTTTCAAAATATCGCTCACAGATGCATCAATGACATTTGCCAAATTTGCTTCTTTAGAATTTTCTGTAATAACGACACTAAGTTATCTGAGCGACAGCTTACTGACTATTGATTTTCTAATGCTAAATAATTAAGTTTGAATTCAACTCGTATGTTGGTGTACTGGGATTTGATGTCGCAAAACAAAAGTCATTTGTAATACCTTGACTGACGAAAGAGCGGTATTGGTTTTATGGATACGTTGCATTTATTATACAATCAAAACGCTAGAAGTTGTTTGGTGAAATACTTATCGGGAATTTTAATTTCTGTCATTTAAGAAGGTAAAGTATTCCAATTTATTATACAATTATTCTGTTAACTCAAGAACATGTGATTACAAAATTATTTTCGTAGAATTTGTAAATCTATTAGAACAACGTAATAGAGATGTAGAGATTACTTTTTAATTACTGTATAATTTTCATGAATGGTTTGTGTATTTTCAATTTGCAGTATTACGAATGGTTAGATGTAAAGGTGATCATTCCTATATTTGATGATGAGTTACTAAAATTGTGTGCTGATGAAATTGACTACAATTTTCACACTTCGAACAGCTTAAAAGTATTTACCTTTCATAAAAGTGGTTATACAAAACAAAAAATATATCATCTTAGTTTCTTTTCCATTTTTTGGGGGAAGGGGTTAACATTTGATATAAACTTTTGTTAAACTAGTTTATGATGACTGACCTGCGGGGTTTATGTTAAATACAAAGTTAACGTTTTATGTTATGTACATGTATTGTTCTCTGTTTCTTGAATCAAATAAACAATTTGATCATCAAATCACAGACAAGGCTTTAATGAAACAAAATTTAAAAAACCCTCAGATCTAAAATATATGTTAATAGTCGATGTTTTGCGGAGCCCTGTTGGTCTCACACAGATATGGGGTTGTATTTCTATAAGTCTAACGTTCAAGATGTAATGTCTAGGCTCAAAAAAAGAAGACTAGCCCTGGAGGTTGAAATTCCAGGTCTCAGTTGTAAAAGTAAGGGCTGTAGATGTAAAAGTACAGCTCTGAAGATGTAAACTCCATCCCTAGAGATATAAAATCTAACGCTGAAGGTGTAAACTCTAGCGTTGTAATGTAAAGTCTAGCGCCGAAGATGTTAACTTCAGCTTTATGATGAATTTAAAAGTCTAGCACTGCAGTTGTACACACCAGCGACCCTTTTAAGTTATACTGAAATGTGTATGACTTACGAGTATCTTTACTTTAAAGATTTTTTGTTAAAAGAGCCGCTGGACTGACGATAAACATTTCAGCGCTAGATAATATTTATCACAGACGCTGAAGGCTTAAACGCTATTTAAAGTCCAGCGTTAAAGATGTTTTGATGCATATGGATCTATGGGAAACATTATATAAATAACACATAGCTGAGAGGGTAATAGAGCAGATTGTTACCCCGAGAAAACATTGTCAACTGAGGCGAAGCCAAGGTTGACAATGTCTTTTCGAGGGGTAACAATCTGCTCTATCACCCTCTCAGATATGTGTTATTTAATTTAGTATACTGAATGTTCTGTTATTACTGTCGATTAAATTTCAAATTCAAAGTAATAAACTATGACGTCTTGTACATAACAACCATCCGTATTTAATAAAGCGCACACTTGATCAAGCGTCTCCGTGAAGGGTAATAGAGTATTTGCCATAGGATAGAGTCGTATTTAATAAAGCGCACACTTGATCAAGCATCTCCGTAAAGGGTAATAGAGTATTTGCCATAGGATAGAGTCGTATTTAATAAAGCGCACACTGGATCAAGCGTCTCCATGAAGGATAATAGAGTAAATCAACACACTCGTATTAGCCAATCAAAATATGGCATTTTAACGTGAAGTATAATAATATATAAATATCACATAGCTGAGAGGGTGATAGAGCAGATTGTTACCCCGAGAAAACATTGTCAACCGCGGCGAAGCCAAGGTTGTCAATGCTTTTTCGTGGGGTACCAATCTGCGCTATCCCCCTCTCAGCTATGTGTTATTTAATTTATTATACTGAATGTCCTATCATTATTGCCTTTTACAGATGAATTTTATTCAAAAGTATTTTCTATGACGTCACAACAGAAGTGAAGCAAAATGTTTTTTTTTTTATTTTGACAGTCAAATAATAAAATCTGAGCCAAAACGTAGAACTTAAGCATTATCTTTAATAACTTGATGTAAATTCTTTAAATTATCGATTTTTGATTGGTCTGGACGAGAGGGTGACATTCAAAAAAATTGTCACCCGCTCAGCCATGTGATAGAGTAAATTAACCAATCAAAATATTGCATTTTAACGTGAAGTATAATAAATAGGGATGGTTCCCATATTAATAAGTACAGGATTAAAATGATACCCTGCAATCCTCAATCCATCCCCCAAAAGAAAGGTTATAAGTTAGTGAAACGTATACAACATTATATAAATAACACATAGCTGAGAGGGTGATAGAGCAGATTGGTACCCGAGAAAACATTGTCAACCGCGGCGAAGCCAAGGTTGACAATGCTTTTTCGAGGGGGTACCAATCTGCTCTATCACCCTCTCAGCTATGTGTTATTTAATTTATTATACTGAATGTCCTATCATTATTGTCTTTTACAGATGAATTTTATTCAAAAGTATTGTCTATGACGTCACATACATAACAACGTTACGGGGATTAGAAGTGAAGCAAGATGTTTTTTTATTTTGACAGTCAAATAATAGAATCTGAGCCAAAACGTAGAACTTAAGCATTGTCTTAAATAACTTGATGTAATTTCAATTCATTGTCCTTCAAATTGTCGATTTTTGATTGGTTTGGACTAGAGGGTGACATTAAAAAAAATTGTCACCCGCTCAGCCATGTGATAGAGTAAATTAACACCCTCGTATTAGCCAATCAAAATATGGCATTTTTACGTGAAGTATAATAATATTAGTATGTTGTAGTTGTGCATTATGTAATTGGTTTGGCCAATGTTGATACATACATGTAGGGATTGTTTAGTAATAAAAAGTGTATGCCAATAAGTACATCAATACATGTTCAGCGCTCGACTTTTAAAACTATAACTGAGGTACGATATCACTATAACACTCACCGTTAACACCGGGACCGAATTACACCGAGCTCATTTTTCCAAATTTTTATAAATATCATTTGTTTTCGTACTTTACTCAATATCGCTGAAAAGGCGTGGTATGTATTGAAACTTACTGGCAGTTTTTTATGGCTGCTTTTTAGTTGAAGAAAAACCGGGAGGAACAGAGTAGGCTATCAATCATTTTAACACTTCATTTTCAAACATTCACCTTAAAACATCAACGGAGTGTTTATTATAATAGGGCTATTTATTTTACTCGTTGATTTCAGTTTGATAGGGGTAGTATCTACCTTAAGCACAACCTATCTGAAGCCAATAATTCCCAGAATTCATTATAATCTTCTGTCAGACGTATTGCATCTATTTTTTTTTTACTTTTTGTGTCAGCTAATTACAGAAGTCTATGAACCAAATAACGACAATTCCTAGATTCGAAAGGAATTAAAAGAAGACCTCAATCACATTTGTTTAACCATTTTAAAAATTGAGAAATTTTTTATCACTCATCGATTAGCGATTCTTCAAAATAAATACAATGCTTTAGATTTTTTTTTTCTATTTCGTCACTTTAAAAGATTGAAAGTGTATCACCTCTTTTTCATCATTTTGAATTCGTGATATTATGAAAAGGTGAACACATTTAAAAATTGTATCATAGATACATATGTACATAGTTTTTTTTTGGAAATATGTTAGTTTTCCTGCTGGAAAGTGAAATAACACATTATTTCACCCCAATAAATGTTTAGTTTTGATGTCACCTTCTGGAATGGGAAATAACACATTATTTCACACCAATAAATATCTATGGTTAAAAATTTATTTAAATAACACGTTTAGGAGTTATCCTTCAACTTGTTTTTGTTTTTGTTATTGGGACAAGTAATCTAGTGGTTGTTATTGGTTACTGTGAGCTGTGTACGGTGACCGGTAGTTGTATTCGTCTTAGTCTTTTAAATCTTTATAGATAGTTGTTTCATAAGCAATCATACCTCACTTTCTTATTTTTAAATCACAGAAAAGTAAGAGAACAGTACAGTTTTCATAGAGCTTTGGTATTTTTGAAAATCAAGTTGGAATGATAATATGGTAAACAAGTATCAGTATGCGGCGTAAAGCAATCACCGATGAATCATTCAATCAAGATGAAGTGTCTGTAGGATTGTTCTGTGTATTAGGATTTGACAGTAAGAGCAAACATGTCTGAGTTACATGTTTTAGTGCTGCTCTGTAAATACATTGTTTCTTTTGGGAATAGTCTTGTCTGCCCTTCGTCTTGATCATGCATGAAATATTTGCAACTGGACAGAAGGCAAGTACCAATCAGTTCGCATTTTAATTTATGTCATCTGATTAACTCTTTATATTATTTTTTTTATCTTTCCGCTAGTTAATTTGTTTACTGACAAGATTCGAAAAACGTATCATCAATTTTATATCCAGAAACAATTAGCTTGCTTGAGCATCATTGAAAATGTACTCGTGTTATTGGTAAAATAAGTTGAACAACATTTATTGTGAATATTCGATCAAAGAACAAAACCTAAAGGCACGATGATTTTTATGTGAATTTTATAATGTTCTTTTGTATTCAATTTAGATTCGATAAACATAAATAAAAAGTAATACAACTGTGTAACTGATAGATAGTAAAAGTATCATATAGAATTGATTTTTCGTTTGTCGGAGGTCGATATATGTTTACATTTTTATACTCTATCATGTACGTTTCACATCTAATTGAATAAAGAAAAGTTCTGTTGTATTTGTATAGACTTGTCCTGATGGTATTATAAAGTCTGAAGGATGGCATCCTCTATAACAAGTTTAGTACATCCAAGCTGCACACAAAGGTATGTTAATTTCATATGTATTTACATAAAATGGTTAGCATACTCTTTAATTCCAGTGACTACCATATATGTTTTCATTTTGAAATAAGTCTTGTTATTGAAAAAAGACATCATTAAATTTTCATTCCGAGGAACTTATTTAATAAAGGTTAATTATTTTGATCGTATACAATTTTAATTTCATTTAACGATATCTTCTCAAATATTAGAAACAGATTGTAAAGTTAAACTAATCTTAATCTTATTGAAATGACTTTTACAAGATCAGTTACATATTAACTTAATTTAATAATGCATTTCAATTTTAATTTGACAGTAATTAGACAATGTAATTGCAAGAAAAAAGTCAGGATTGAATTTTAAAAACTGTTGTGCCGAAGAAACTAAAATATTTAAAACAGTCAACACAAATTAGAATCTTGTTCTATGAGGGTGTGGATGGGTTTTACAGAATAGAGAATAATGGGCATAAAAGTATAAAGAATAGAGAAAAATGGACTAAAAATATAAAGAATAGAGAATAGTGAGGTGCAAAAATATGAAATATAGAGAATAATGGGCAAAAGCTATAGAGAATAGAGAAAAATTGCCTATATAGGATTAAAGAATACAGAAAGAAGGACCCCATCCAGACCCTCCTCTATGTTATTTACTAGGTAAATTTCTGAATATACATTGAATCTAAAATATATAATGAACTCAATTTGATAAAATGCAAATAATCGCGATTCAATTGACTCATTGTTTATAGATATTTGTTAAAGATACTATGATAAAAAAGAATGATTTGTTTTAGGTGTTCCTTGAAAAGAAGAAGATCGCATCGATCATCAAAGTACACAAGCAATGAAGCAATGAAAGGTCAGTTATTCATCATATAGACTATTTCTAATTAGGTCTTTCCAGATACACTGGCTTCCTCCACCAATAAAAACTGGCAGCTATGCTATAGCCAAGTACACTGAAAGTGGCGACAATAGCCAAGTACATTGAAAGTGGCAAAATAACGAATTCGTCTTAATATTTGTTTTGTTTTTTGTTTGTTTTTTCTTGGGGGGGGGGGGGGGGGGGGGGGGGGGTATTTTGTGTACATGGCAGATCATTGATTCTGATAAATACATTTGCCATTTTCTAAACTTTGGGGTGATTTAGACCTTGAAATATTGCACAGACATCCGTCTATTGTTGACCGTTAGATATCTTTTGATGGTTTTGTATTGATGGATTGCTGGCTTATTCATGTTTATGTTTATGACACTACATATGTAAAAAAGGAGATGTGGTATGATTGCCAATGAAACAATTACTACATGTACATTTCTGAGTTATAGAATTATTTCCGCTTCATTTCTCACTTATTATTTTAACATAAAAAGTGTTAAGATTAATTTTTCTCTGTCGATGGGTTACTGTCCTTGGCGTGAACATCTCTTGTCTCCTATTATTCATATTTAACCGATTATCAAATAAACATATCCTTGAAACAACCTTAAGATAGACATAAATATCATACTTAAAGAGTATATTTACTAACAATTACCATATCAATGCAATTCAATAACTTTGCAAGGCCAGTAAACATTAGAGAAGACAACACAGAGGGTCTGAATGAGGGGTTCTTCGTTTCTTTATTCTTTAATTTTTTAGACCATTTTTCTCTATTCTTTATATATTTTGCTCATTTTTTCTAATCAATATATTTCAACACCCCATTAGTCTAATCTATATTCTCTATTGTTTTGCCTATTTTTGCCTATTTTTGCCTATACTTTTTATTTTTTTGCCGTTTATTCTGCACGTTTTGCCCATTATTCTGTAAAACCCATCTAGACCCTCATATGAAAAAGTTTAGACTAATGGTGATAATGACGACGTCATTATTTTTCAGCAAGCAAAGTAAAAAAATAAATAAATGGAATTAACACATCTAACACACACAGATAATTTCAAACCTATCACAGAGACAATTAGAACACCAAGAGACCAAACTATTTTGGAAAATACGTTTTGGATAGAAAAATGATTGTAGGTTGATTGGAAAAGAGGCAAAACTAGATGTCAATACACGAAACAACAGTCTCACTTAGTCACAAATATATCCAAGTAATATTGATATACGGAGATGCGATATGATATCCAATGAGACAATTATTAAAAAAGACTAAAAAATAAATATGTGAATAATTACAAGTCGCTATTCGTCCTTTAACATCGAGAAAACCTAATATCGTATAGTAAACGGAAAAGTCCTCGGTATGACCAAATGTGAAACATTCAATTGAGAAAAACCAACAACATGATTTGTAATGAAACAATGAAAGAAAAAAAAATATGGCAGATACCGACCAACGACAACCACTCAGTCTCGGTTTCAGGTTCCTTGCTGGGTTTGACATGCTTTGAGCGCTCAATCATTCCCTCTACTATGACATGTATGTACTAACACAACATAAAAACAAACTGTAAAATTCAGTTTGAAAGGGCTTGACTCATCAGAGCGATATTTCGCACAATAACAAATAATAAAAAGATGAAAAACACAAAATATCGATCGAAGTGAATTCACAATTACTGAAGGCTGTTTCAAAGCCTTTTAACATAAACTAATGAATAACTCGTGTTTTCCAAGACGAAAATGTCAATCAGTATACCTCCAACTGATTGAGTGTTAAGATGTCAAAAGCATGACCTTATGCAATGCCAAAATATAAGTAATAATACACGATGTAGGACCATATGTGTTACATGTAATACCTGGATAACTATTATAATACGATTTGTTAAGTTATGTGTTAAACTGTTAAAAATAAAATCAATGTTAGTACCGATAAAGACAACATTCAAAGATCTAACTGCAATGCTAAATTGAAAATCTTCAAGAATGAGTTTATATTCAAAGGATAAGTAAGTTTACATAGATCGTATCATAGTTTGTTTTTTTTTTTTTATCTAAAGCTATTATTTCCTTAAATCAATTTGTCGTAACGAGCTGGCATCTTGGTCTACAAATTGTCATTGTAATATTTTTTTTTATTTACATATACAAGGCCATCATGCATGTGTTAACCTCTCCAATTTGAATAAGGTATTGCGATAACGACTTTACACAAACAACTTGGGAAAAAATATATCAAATTACTTTGATTTTTTTCAGGTGAAGAACATTGGACTAAAGTTCTCCAGACAAAAGAACAAACTGCATTTTATAAGAACAGATGTGCTTGTAAAAAGTCGCCAAATTTAAATAGTTTAGTTCGTCCTCGGTCAGAAGGCGCTGAAAATATATTCCCGTCAGTTTTTCGACGATTTTATTTATGGATAAATTCTAGAGTAAAATCGCACAGTACACATGATCATGACAAAGTTTTCATACCGGAAATACAGACGAGATCAGGATCCGACTCCGGATGCGAAACAGATATATTATCAAATACACATCCAGTTTTGATACGAACTCAAAAACTACAACTTGACTTAATTAGCATAAACGATGCAGATGATCCAAACTATGTATATATTAGAAACAATAAATCAGCTGACGCTTCACCATCGCTTCATCCGTTTCCATCTGTTCATAATTCATTTTCAAATATTAATGAAATACTTACTGATGATAATAAAAAGAATTTTTTGACACTCAGCGTAGGAGAATCTGGAAGCCGACAGAATTTGACAGTTACGAGAAGTGCACCCTCACAAAGCCAACGAACGTCACGTGTAGCTGAACCAGTCTGTAAAATCAAACCATATCACACATGGCCTCTTTCGAGAAAAATTCTGGAACAGAAGGGTACGTTTATAACTAAACTAAATGTATAAATGGTTAATGCATGTATGTACATGTATATTCTATTAATTGTTTGGACTATGATTTGTAGAACAAGGATAGTAAGATAAATTAGGAACTACATTACTTTAGACAGTGGAACTGGAAGGGGGCAAATTGGTTCGGACGAAATTGCCGATAAATCATGTAATCTTATTTTCTTATTGAAAGTGTGGACGTAGAATAATGTCAGAGTATTTAATTTTAAGATTCATCCCGAATATGCATGAAATATTTGCCTGCGATGTCGAGTAGACGATGTCGAGTAGACAACAAGGAATAAAACAATTTATTTCTACCATATTTTTTTCGGCAACAGAAATTTAACCGTTCTGTCTATACTGTTTAGTGTTATAGGGCTCACATATATAAATATTAGATGCCGTAACTCCGTTCTCGCGCTCACCTCATGAAGATATTTTGAGACATTTGTCGTGAACACTTCAAGAATTATTATGCGCTTATTTTGCAATCGTTAATCAATAGATGTTCTAAAAATGGCTCTCATGACTAAACAAAGAAAAATCTATCTTCATCATTTCAGATATTTTGGGCTTTTTATAATAAAGTTGCAAATCGAATAATGAAAAATCCCGATAATTCTTGTCTTAGATTTTGAATTTTCAAACAGTTTGGCCTCCAGTTACACTAAATAGACATTAACGGCTGAAATGTGCATCTGGTTGAGTAAAATTAGTACTATTAATGTTATTAATTAATTTTATATTATATGCAAACAGGTACTTGAAATATCCTCAATCCTTATTAAGATAAGTGTACGCATGCAGGTTTCTGTTTAATCTTTGAAAGATTCTTTTTTTTTCTTTCAGAAGAAGAAAAGAGTACAGTTTTTGACAATTTAGAAAACCGTTCTATGTACAGGTAAGCATACTGTCATGATTCAAATGAGGAAACAGACTCCGATAATTTAAAATCTAGAACATAAAAAAAATAATTCTATTTCAATTCATTCTGATGCAATTTTACTCCGATGTTTCTTCGTGTAATTTAATGTTGATGAGTTAAATTGATATACACGAGTAGATATTGTGGCTCTTACTTGACCATTGCTATATTTTTATTATGAATATAAAGGTAATTTGGCAATGCGACAATCACCAATCATTACTATAAAGCAGGTTTACAGCTTGGATTTAACAAATCTTCAATAATTCATGTAAACAGCCACATGTAGTCATTTAGTTGCTGAAAATGATTAAATACTACTGGAAAATCTAAGTTTCGCTGTTACTGAATGAAAATTTACAGATTAATTATCATAAATGTTGGAAATCAGTTTATCCAATTCTTGTATGTATGCGTTGTTAAGCGTCTTGAAAATTTTGTCAATTTTTCTTCATAAATATTATCAATACTTTTAGAAATCCATCGGCAGAAGATCTCACAAACCTAAAGGAATTTTCCATTCCATACGAAGACCTTGAATTCACCACGTGTTTTCGAACTGGAAGAGACCGGGTCATTTACCGGTAAGATAGAATTTTCTACAGTGTACAAAATACTGGTTATTTTGCTTCAATTACATATATTTTAAGTATATTCGTTCAGATTGAAATGCGTAAAAATGACAACGAACAATTAAGTAGTGAGGTGATGTTCATTTTCCGTGTGAAATGATGATAGTTTTTCATGAAAGGCACATTGATTATAAAAAGTTAATTGTTTACTGTTGCGCTAATTTTGTTTACAGTTGCTTAGTTGATACATTTGTATTGACGTGTTTTTCATTATTCAAACGTTTACCAGAAAAAAACGGTATAAGATAATGATATGTCATTTATTCTTGCACGAACATTTCATGCCGTTGTGAAGAATGTAATATAGCGCTTATTAGATAATTAAAATATAAACTCTTTAATAACTTTTTTTTTTTAATTTATGGCCTAAAATATAACGGGGGAAAACGGTTGTCATATTAAAAACTAAATAATTTAATTTCAGAAGTAACGCGTTTTCTGGTTGGATATTTTTTTTGTCTATCATCTCATAGACATAATTTTACCATGTGACAGAGACGTCATCAACAATTTTTGATGATTTACTCGTTTTATTTCGATACTAAAATTAAATTATAAGGAATTAATGTAATATTTTTTCTGTGTATTCGAAATAACCTCAATGCAGGTTATTTAGTGTGCATCACGTGATTGAGGTTATTTCTTCATAGACAGAAAAAATATTACAGTCATTCCTTAAATAGATAAACATAGATAAATGACAATTTTATGGAGAAACATATGCAATTTCAGGAGATTCAACCATTTCAGATAATAGTACAATATCAATGAACATACACAGAAAACAAAAAAATGAAACAGAATATCATAACCGAATAGTACACGCCATTAGTACTTTAGTTTTAAAACAGTATATGCAAAAATAAAAAAAATAAATACATACTTTTATAATATAAAGTTGTCAGAAAATATGTTTTAGATCTTAAGATTGTAATCCATGCCCGTGTACTTAGATATGACAAGAAAAATCTTAAATCTTGTTACTTTTTAACATGTTGTAATTTTTAAAGTATATATCTCCCAGTTGAGTTGATATTCATAAGAGTAGCTGTTAAAAAAGAAAGCTATTAAACCAACGGTTATGGAACGCCACAGCTGTCTTATGTGGAACTCTGATATTACGTTATGTGATTTTATCATTACTTGATGATATTTGTCTTTACATAATATGGTTTTGACATTACGTAATGATGTTTTGATATAACTCAATATGGAATAGTCATTACTTAATGATATTTCGATATTACACGATATGGTTTCGTATTGACTTGATATAGTTTTGTCATTACTTAATACGGTTTTGTCATTACTCGATGTGGTTTCACCATTATTTAATGTGGTTGTGTCATTAGACAATGTGGTTTTAACATTACTTGATGTGTATGTGACTTAACGTAATGTAGTTGTTTCATTACATGATGTGCTTTTGTTATTTCGTAATGATGATTTGCCAATTCTGTATATGGCTTTAACATTACGTAATGATGTTTCAAAATTTGACGATTTTACACTACATGATGTGTGTTTGTTTCAGTATTTAATGTGGTCCTGTCATTCTTTGATGTGGTTTTCACATTACTTGATGAGGTAAAACCACGTGACCAATTCGGAAAAAACAGTTCTATTTTTAAATAGATTTCCATGTTTTTTTGTGCCTTGGATGAGTGTGGCCATCCATCGATTCAGAGTTTAAATTAAAGTTCGGGTTACTAATCGCGTTAGACTTTGAGTTTGTCTTCGATTTCTAGTTAGAATTAAAGCCATTGTTAGAATTAAGTTCTAGTTAGTATTGAGTTTCGAGTTGAACTTCGAGTTTGAGTCACATTTAAAGGTAGAGTTCGAGTTACAATTCGACTTCAACTTTGAATTTGAGTCATCTTTCGAGGTAGAGTTCGAGTTAGACTCGAATATTTTGAGTCTATTTAGATTAGGATTTCGAGTTGAAATTCGAGTTATCTAATATGAGTTCGTATTTAAATTTTCTATCGTGGATCAAGGGCTTTTGCTCGGGCTTCCGAAAAGAGGACTCAGGGTTATGCTTACAAAAGATAAATAATGTTACAGTATACAAAACACAACATAGAAATTGAACTAAAGTTAGATGTGGTGAGATTGCCAATGAGACAACTATCCACCAGAGTTTAAATGCAGTGGAAGTAAGCTATCATAGGCAACCGCTCAGCCTTCAACACACCGTATAGTCGGCTACAAAAGAACACCACGTGAAAATGTGAACCAATTCAAACGAGAAAAATAACGGTCTAATTTATAACTAAAGAGTCTACGAAAAACAAATATGACACACAAGAAAAAACGACAACCATTGAACTGCAGGCTCCTGACTTGGGGCAGGAACATAAAGAAAGTGCACGTGGCGGAGTTTAACATGTATGTGAACGCTAAACCCTAACCTAACCTCGGACTGTAGTGTAACAGCACAACATAAGAAAAAAATGTGAAAAACAGTTTCAATTGGCTTAACTCAATAGATCGGTATGACTGGGTAATATATATCAATCGGGGTGATCTCGGGTGCTCCGGAAGGGTAAGCAGATTCTGCTCAACGTGTGACACCCGTCGTGTTATTCGTGAAAGTAAAAACCCGGTGATTTGGTTTTATTTGGTAGTTCACATTCGAGGAAAAGATGACGGGATTGTGGTTATAACAACTGGAACATATCCGTCGTCACCTGTGAAACAGATATTCCCAAAAGTTTGTTTTTTCAATTAGTGATTTAAAGTGTCTCTTTTGTTTACAATAAAGTACAAGTCTTTTGATTTGTGTCGAGTCTGCGACATTAATGTAGCGGCAGTGAGACACAACAAACCTATATTCCGTCGTCGGTAGTGGCGTCGGCGTCTTCATCATTTAGATCGTTAGGTTTCTCGTTTGAATTGTTTTTACATTTTTCATTTCGGGACCTTTTATAGCTTACTATGTTGTATGGGTTTTGCTCATTGTTGAAGACCATACAGTCACATATAGTTGTTAACTTCTACGTCATTTGGTATGTGGTTGAGAGTTGTCTCATTTGCAATCATACCACACTTTCTTATTTTTACATAAGGTTTTTTTGCATTAAATATTACCGAATTAAACTGTTTTGACATGATAAATTTGTAAACCTCCGTGAATTGTTATAAAATTGTATAGGAGTTATCCGAAATACTGTTAATTTTTAGTACTTTTTTTTAATTTTTGTCTGCCGTTCCCCTTTTTCATACCAAATAACTCTGAACAACAACTCGAACTTTTATTTGAACTTTAACTCAATGGATAGCAATACTCATCCAAAGCACATTTAACAAACGACATATGGAAATCGGTTTAAAAATAGAACATATTTTTTTCCGAAATGGTCACGTGGATTTACCTCATCAAGTAATGTGATAACCACATCAAATACTGAAACAAAAACATCATTTAGTGTAAAATCGTCAAATTTTGTAACATCATTACGTAATGTTAAAGCCATATAAAGAATTGGCAAATCATCATTACGAAATAACAAAACCACATCATGTAATGAAACAACTACATTACGTTAAGTCACATACACATCAAGTAATGTTAAAACCACATTGTCTAATGACACAACCACATTAAATAATTAAATAATGGTGAAACCACATCAAGTAATAACAAAACCATATTAAGTAATGACAAAACTATATCAAGTCAATACGAAACCATATCGTGTAATATCGAAATATCATTATGTAATGACTATTCCATATTGAGTTATATCAAAACATCATTACGTAATGTCAAAACCATATTATGTAAAGACCAAATATCATCAAGTAATAATAAAACAACATAACGTAATATCAGAGTTCCACATAAGACAGCTGTGGCGTTCCATAAACGGTTCTTAATTGTAAATGTATATTTATATATACAGAACCTTTCTGTTTGTCATCGTTATTTTTTTGTCGGCCGCTATGGAATATTTGTGTTACAGATGACCAGATATGTGGATATGTTCCATTGGTTATATTCTCAATCAAATCCTTGTTTCCTCGTTAATCATATGACCGGATGTGACTTATCAACAAATTTGTACCAAAACAACACGACGGAGCAGGAACTGCTTAACTTTCCGTGAAAAAAAAACCCGGTTTTTTTTGGTTTCGTAATGCTAAATCATTAGTTTTTTTGCTTACCTTATGTGTGCCTATTATGGTCCGTTGTCTTTTCTTCTTTTGTTTTGTTTTCACAATGGCGTTGTCTGTCTTTCTTTGAGTTCCGGTTTTTTGATTAGCCGCTCGCTAGAGATATACAGCAACTTTTATCATACACGAATAGACGCTCTTTCAAAATTGTGTTATAGTTTTCATCGAAATGTAAGAGCCAAAGTGCAACTCTCTTCTACTGTATCATACTGAGATTGCTTCCGGGTTATCAAGAATAAATATATGACCCTTTACATCTATTATTTCTACAGAGGGAAATGGCATGGAGATGTTAACATACATTATTATGGCAGTTACACAGCTCTAGATTTCTGGCATTTGGTTACAAAGATGCAGCGAGTTCGTCACGAAAATGTTGCTTTATTCATGGGATCATGTACAGATTTCAACAAATATTCCATTATTGAAAGGTATATTATAAAATAAATAATCAAACAAATAAACTATTTTAAGTCCTTTTCTAGATTAATTCAAACGATTAAGAAAAGAGAAGAAAATTAATGTGTTGAGATTCTGATATAGCACTTTTTTAATTGAACGAAGAAAAAAAATATCTGCATTGTGAACATAGAGCCTACACTCATGTCTTCTGTTTCCTTTTTAGCATACAAGATGGTGTGTCTTTATACGAACACATACATATCCAGAAAGAAGTCTCCAGTATGCAGTCCAAAATACAACTCCTACGACAGATCTCCCATGGGATGGGATATCTGCATGCAAAAGGAATAGTGGTGAAAAATCTTAATACAAGAAACATTTTCTTGTGTCCAAAGGCACGGGTCAGTGTTATGGATTATGGAATTGTAGAACCACAACATGATAGGTAATTAGTATATAAGGAAAGACACAATAGTATTTAACTCTCTTTTTTAAAGATATACGTATAACCTGAAAGCATAATTCGAAGAAAAAAGTAAGTATCTATTCAACGTACGAAAACAATTATTGCTTTGCCTTCATAAGCATAAACAGTCTATGATGAGTTTTGATTGTAATTGACTAAAAGATAAATAATAATTGTATTAAAAGCAATTATAGCAATAGGAAAAAGGAGAGGTGAATCACAAAGTACAATTCTACATCTTGTATAAAAAAAAACAGATTTCTTTTTCAAATGTAAAATTGTTCTCCTTTGATATGCTATGTGTGTATGATTTAATGATATTGAATAATTCAATGTGTTGCTTAACCTAACGACGTAACCTTCTCGTTTCATTTGGATGTCATTCGATATCCTTAGGGTGTTCTGTCCTCTTGGCTTGGATATTCAAAATAGCTTTACGAGTTTTGAATAATGGTTAACTCCTGCTGCCTCTTAATTATCAGACAATATAATGTTTTCATGGTATCCATTTCTTTATAATATAATTACAGAGAGGGTTTAGCTTGTGTACCAAGAGGATATCTTACATACATAGCCCCTGAAATTCTACGTACATTGATGGTTGATCCACCCATCCTTTACATGAAGGCCGAATGCACAAAAGAATCCGACGTGTTTGCCTTCGGGTGAGTATCATATTCAGACTTTCTGGTGAGACTATCAGACTATCATACCCAATTAATATGATTTTTATATAGGTTTAAATGTAGTAAATCTATAACAAGAAAACATCTAAAAACGGAAACGTTTAGGGAACGATCATTTAACTTCAAAGAGGGGGAGGGGGGAGGGTTATGGTTTTTTATTAAAAAAAATATTCTGATCCCCAATTTGATAAAAAAAAATATTCTGGTCAAGCAGATGACAAAAAAAATATTCTGAATCCAGATTTTCCCCATACCTTATAGTGTTAAATATTGAAAAAAATAATTTGATTTAAAGCGTTGAAAAACTAAATAAAATTGATCGCCCCCGCCCCCTACTCCTTTTGAAGTTAAATGGTTGCTCCCTAATACGTCTATGCTTTTTTTTATTAAATAATAACACTTATATAAAGACTTTAAAGGTGCTTTTTATCGTATATATCACACTGTATAAACATCAAACGTCATTTTTATTTGTGAAAACGAATATGTGAAGAAATCAAAATACATAAAAAAAAAGTTGGTTATTTTTAGAATTTTTCTGGCCTTTGAAAAAAAGGTCTTTCTTCTTCATGTAAATAGTTTCTCGACATAGTTTCAAAATCACATGTGGCAGCAAAAGTATTATTTGAAATCAGCTTCAAATAAATGAAAGTCTATTAAGCAAATACCTATTTGTAAATGTGTTGTTTTTTTTTATAATCCTGTTTTTTAATTTTCCGTTACAACTAAGATTACTGAACAACTTATTTGATTTTCAAATGGGAAAATTGCCAGATGTGTTCTTTTCAGCGTCAACCAGACGGGCCTTTAGGAATTAGAACTGAAAAAAAAAATGATTTCAATTTCTTTCGGGAAATATATTTAGTCGAGTTAACATTTAACCGTGTAGAAAAATCTTCCTGAAATAATATGAATTATTTCATATTCTACAGGAAAATTTCTCTAAGCGATAAATGGCGATCCAAATGTACTAGAAACTCATAAAAAATAACAAACTTATGATTAAGCACGTCAGACGCATTACGTCTACATAGGAATTAGCAGTGGCTTTCGAATCAATAGAGCTAGCAGACAAAATCTCGTAGTTTAAAACTGACATTTTTCAAAAATATACGAGTAAATATGTTCACTATCTTTATATCTTTATAAAGAAACATTTTAGGCACATAACTGGCATAACTTGCTTATTGACTTTCGACTAGTTTAACCAGATTCAACTGTTCTGTCTTTCGAGTCTATCATGTGTCAATGTGTTTTTAGAATATGCACATGAAAGAATTGAAAGGCTAAACATTGGATCTAGTTAAAGTAGCCATTTCAATTCATAATAATTATGTTTACTATATAGAATAAGGAGATATGTTTGCTTGCCAAGGAGTCAATATATATTTCCACAAAGTCCAAATGACGTGGATTTAAACAGCTATAGGTTACCATTGCCTTCAACAATGAGCAAAACTTATACAATACAGTCAGATATAAAAGGCATGACAAAATGGGAAACAATTTCAGCGAATAAACCAATATATAAAAATATTGTGGAAATTCTTGAACACAAATATTTGTATATTGTGTTATTTTGCTTATATTTATTTTATTTTATCCTCTTATATATTTGTAAATATATTACAGGACCATAGTTTATGAATTGGTCACGTGGAGGTATCCATTTTTTGGACAGTTACCTGAATCTATAATATGGCGAATCTGTACCAATCAATATCAAGAGATCGATAAGATAAAAAGTGCAAAGGCAATGAAGGTATATTGGATATTCTAAGGTGGTACCAAACACCTTGACTAAAATTAATTTTGGCTCGTTTAATTTTCATAAAATTTTGACAAAATATTTACCTTAACCCTTTGACAAAAATATGAAAATTTCAAAAAACTGGAGCCACACACTTTATCGGAAAAATTTCATTGGATATATGGCAGTTTGGCAAACAGTAATTTTGATCATTGAAAAGCTTAATATTTCCTTAACAATAGAACGTGATTAAAACTTTCAACTGATTTTTAAAGAGTAATCTCTCTGTAGTGTTGTACCACCTTAAAGTAGAGGTCAAAATTTTCAATACAATTGAGAGTACATGGCAGTTCAGTATAAAAATGTTAATGTAGCAATGAAAATCATATACTTGTTGGTAAAAAATATTTTTAGAGAAAATTGCAACGCAAATGTTTTGCTATGAACGGTCAATTTAGATACACAGTTAATTAAAAGATGAACCACACTAACTGAACTTATCTAGACCAAACATACTTTATGATAACACTATATTATATCTGACTTATACAGTTTTAAAACAATCCAAATATTAAGCTTAAAAAATTTGTTTTACTTTGACAGCGATTAATGGAATTATGCTGGTCATTTGATCCAGGAGACAGACCAAGTTTTGCTAACATCAGTAGAGACTTGAACAGAACGGTAAGTCCACTCCCTTTCTGTATAACTTACGACTTATCACCGGATTTGTACTAACATGAGCAACACGACGGGTGCCACATGTTGAGCAGAATCTGCTTATCCTTCCGGAGCATCTGAGATCACCCCTAGTTTTTGTGGGGTTCGTGAAGTTCAGTCTTGAGTTTTCTATGTTGTTTTGTGTACTACTGTTTGTCTGTTTGTCTTTTTCTTTTTGCACCATGGCGTTGTCAGTTTATTGTCGACTTATGAGTTTGAATGTTTCTTTGGTATCTTTCGTCTCTCGTTTAGAAGGTATCTTCGGGTTAAAAAGAAGTTTAAATTAAGATTTTTCTATAATTTTTACCCATTCCCTGTACCGGAATAATGTAAACATTATATAGTTTAAAATGCACACGAAACGAAAATACACAAGAATTCCATATGACCGGTCCATGTTTCTTCGAAGGGTTTTGTCCCGCGCTAGCTGTATTTGTGCAATCGGAGCAGCCAATTCAAACATTTATTAGTAAAATCTTAAAGATATATGGCGTTCTTTGTTTTGAATTAATTGTAACAATCTTGGAACAATTGACAAATTACGTTTTCCGGTTGACTTCTCTGTGGTAAATTTGAAACAGATGACCACGGGTATGTACCAATTGTCTTGACCACAATCCCATCCACTTTTCATCGATTGTAACATCTCCGAATCAGACTCATCACCGAGTTTGAACTTACAATGATCGACATGATGGGTGCCAATAGTGAAGCAGAATCTGTATACCCTTCTGAAGCACATGAGATCACCCAATTTTTTGGTTGGGTTCGTGTTGCTCATTCTTTAATTTTCTATGTAGTGTTTTGTGGACGTGTTCGGAGTCTTTCTTATTTTGCCATGGCGTTGTAGGATTATCTCAATTTATAGTTTTAAATGTCCCCTTGGTATCTTCCGCCTCCATTTTACACTTACATTACAGCTTTTCTTTACCCATCTTAGGTAATTTATAAATATGTATATATATTATAATATATAAAATAGATTTTATTATTATTTATTATCAATTATGGTATAAAATTCCAGGAACTATTAACTAAACCTAGGTAATTATGTTGAGGGTTTTACGTCCATAAGACAACGACCCACAATAAATAAAATGGGTATAATTTTGTGTTTTCATTTTGTAGATGTTGATCCGAGCGAGTACTCGAGTATCGCTCGGTAAATCTAATGAGTACTCGATTAGTAAATCTTCACAGAGTTGACATCCCTAATATATGTATACTTTTACACTTGGGGTGGGGGCGTAGTTAAGACGAAGAACTGGTTGCTGTGTTGTACTTTCTAAATGTAAAAATAAGAAGATGTGGTATGGTTGTCAATGAGACAACTCTCCACCAGAGTCCAAATGACATAGAAATTTACAACTATAGGTCACTGAACGGGCTTCAACAATGAGCACAACCCATACCGCATAGTCAGTTATAAAAGGCCACGAAATGACAAATGTAAAACAATTCAAACGAGAAAACTAACGGCCTGATTTATGTACAAAACAATGAACGAAAATCAAGTATGATATACAGCAACAAACGAAAACCACTGAATTACAGGCTCCTGACTTGGGACAGGCACATACATAATATGCCGGGGTTAAACTAGTTTGTGGGCACCAAACCTCCCCCTAACCTAGGACAGTGGTGAAACAGTACATCATATGAACAAACTATAAACATCAGTTGAAGACGGCTTAACTCATACCGTAGAGTCGGCTATAAAAGGTCCCGACATGAAAAATATGAAACAATTCAATTGAGAAAACTAACGGCCAAATTTATAACAAAACAATTTACGAAAAACAAGTATGACAGACATAAACCAACGACAACCACTGAAATGCAGGCTGCTGTCTTGGGACAGGCACATGTATAATGTGGCAGGATTAAACTAGTTTGCTGGCACCAAACCCTCTCCTAACCCGGGACAGTGGTGTAACAGAACAACATAAGAACAAACTATAAAAATCAGTTGAAAAGGGCTTAACTCATCAGCTTTCGACTAATTATATAAAACTATTTATGACATTTTGATAAAGCCGAAAACATGTTTTCCCTTCTGAATAATGCAAACATTCAATTTCAAATATATTCCATTTTTACTTCCTTAACAGTTTTATCTCTTTTTTTGCTATGTTGATATTTCGTTTTATTTTCAATGTTATATTAATATTTGCAGATATCATTACACAAAAGACATAGTATATCGGAGCCAGACATTTTAAGTAGAGTCGGCTCAATCAGTTGTTGTTAGAGAGACGATTTTTATATTGACATCCATTACCGCTAAATGTTGTGTTTCCCCTTTCCTGTTTGTTTATGCATTATCATGAGAATTTAAAAACATTGTTGACAGTTTGAAATGTGATAAGAAATATTGATTTGGATCAAAGTTATGCAAACTTGTTAATTTCATGTATCGAACAGCGGTAGTTTGAGAATTACAGTATGAATATTTTATTAGAGAAATAATAAAAATGAAAAATAACTCATTAATATTTGTCATACTTCGGAAATGAATACCCCAAAAATATTCCATGGGGATTTATTTGGGTCAAATGTACTATTATCATGGTTTAAGATACATACATATCAAGTTACTATAAAGTACCTCAATTTTGAGTACATTGAATAAAAAAGACCATTTGAAAATCCTAAAGATAAAAGTAAGGTCAAAGTACTTTTGACATTACTTTTGGTATTTTTTTTATCGTTTTTTTTATAGATACTTTCTAATTGATCCCTTACGGTTTGAAATAATAAATGCTTAGATAATCTGTAGTCAGAATTTTTAAGAAGTCTGAGAGATATGAATATCTCAAATGACAGAGATATATAAACGTGCGATTGGAAAATTAAAATTGTTTTACTTCATGTATAAAATATAAACGTCCATGTTGTTCCCAAATGATATTATTGCAAACCCGATCACTCTTATGAACAACATATCGTCAAAATCGTCCCAAAATTAAAAGTATTAATAAATTCATTTTGGCTGCTAAACATTTTATCTCAAAACGATGGATAATAAAACATGTATTTAGCCTCTAGTATTAGATAATCATCAATATTGCCAAAACCAGATGAGTGACATTGCATATAATATTGGTAATATGTACGTACATATTGTTTTCGGACAGAAATATACTGGCTATCAGAATTTATTATCGTCACCGCTCCTGGTTGGATATTGTCACCAACTATGTAGTATACACCTATAGGCCAAATACATGCCTAATTATACCTCGGTTTAGTTAAAAAGGGTTAGCAGCCAAAATCAGTCTAAGAATATTTTAATAAGATGATGTTGACGATGGTCATAGCAAAAAATAGAATATGTTTTTTTCTAAATCATTTCATTAAGATGTTAAGTAAATATTGTGGTACAGGCTGGTTTTAAAATGTATTTGGTTTGAATATAGAATGACATTTCATGAGTTAAGTTCGATTATTTTGAGGCCATATTTCTTTTGCTTTCATTCAAACGACATAGTATGAATATGCATATTTTTACGTGTGAGTATTGTAACCTAAAGATCTCATTTTAAAGGTTTCTATATGATGTTTATGAAAGTATTGTTTGTTATTGTTTTCTTAAATAAATTTTCTTAAATAATTATTGGTGTCTTATCTTTTTTTCAAAATAGTTTTAAAAAAACATGTGTTTTATTGTGCCATTACTGACGATTAACAGCGGTGACGATAGGATAAAAAAAACAAGGCTGAAGACACCAGAGGGACATTCAAAACTCATTAACCGAAGACAAACTGAAAACGCCGTGGCAAAAAAAAAAGAAGAAAAACACGAGCTTGAGCAACACGAGCCATTCAAAAACTGTCGTGTTGCAAAATAAAAAGTGCAAAATGAGGTTTCTGCATATGTAAATGATACAGCGACTAAACGGAAAAAAATTAAAGAAAACAAGTCAACAAAGACCAAGCTACGATATTCAGAAACAACATCATCAACAAATGCAAAGTTTCATGATATTAATAAATTTTACACATATCTTCCATCAAAAACTAATTCTCTAAAGTATAAAAAAACAATAACACATAACAACTAAACTGAAAAATAGAGATCAGGGGACTCACCCAACAACAGGAAAAACCTCAAAATACAAGTAAAGGTCAATAAATAATGCACACTTTTATGTGATGCGATTAAAACTATTGATTTCATTTATTTTTGTGGTTATGCAATAAAGTTAAAAGGCCATCAAACATAATCTAATTGAAGAGCCATCTATCTAATGAAATGACATAACTATAAAACTATATCATAAACATAACCTTTCATCATTCAAACAACAAAACGGAAAAAATAGAACGATTTGAACTTTAATGGCGGAATCGCATTACGTATGATATAATCAAGTAAACAAATACTTAAATTTCCAAATCAACCTTTATGCTACTCTTTATACAGTACACGAACTTTGGATAAATCAGATTTATGGACAGATCATTTTAAATTGCGAACAGAATGACGATGAATTTCCTGCATCGGGCACGTCATACTACACGGTAGAAAAATGAGTACCTTTAAGTTCGGATGAATCTATAATTTCTATCATTTGGTTGATAGATCATTGATTGACGGTTAGTAGTCCTGATATCCATGACATATCATTTAATACTGGGTGCCTTAATGAACTTTTTTCGTGGATACAGAGGAATCTATATGGAAAACTTTTGGTAACTCTGTATGTATAAAGAAGAATAGACAATAGTCTACAATATTGTTGAAGACCATATTTTGACTTCTAGATTATTTTTGGTTTTATGTCGTTTGGTTGGTGCTGCATTGACAAATACTCTATAAATCTTCAATTTTTTATTTTTTTATTTTATGTCTTTTATATAACTTTATCATGCCCAATCAATTCAGTTTTCTGCCTTTTGGTCGAGTTGTTGTCTCTTTGACACATTCCCCGTTTCCATTCTCAATCTTAGTTCTAAAACGCCTGAACAAATCCTATCCCTCAGCACAATAGCTACAGGGAACAAAGATTTTGTCAGGCACCTACTAAGTAGACTTTCCAAACCGCAACTTCTTTTTTAAGCATGCAATCATTTCATTAATTCGGAAATGCTCTATCTTAAATGTCATAATGGCCGCCCTCATTTAAATGCCGCCTAATATTTTATGGAGAAACATTTTATGATATTGTGATTTAAGCTGCTATTATTCCAAATATCTCAGATATCTTTAATTTGTCAGAAATTATTTCTTTCTTTTTGACTTAGTTAATATGAAAATTGTTGTAAATGTGATAGCTTTAACAAAAAAATCCTTTCCATCGACCTCTTCTGATTTCCGTACAAATTTAACTAATACTAATTGGCGTTCAAACAGGTAGTTAAAAGTAATGTAAACAACCGTTTTGCTATAGTTTCTTGTGCAGTAAAAATGTGCTCTGATTGGTTACAAAATCATTCTGACGTCACGTTATTTGAAGCCTCGTTGTTTTAATATCCGATCATTTGGTTTCACACGTGAAAGACTGTTCAGCATGCAGAGAAACAAATCTCCTTTGCTCATACGTTAGCGGTACTTATCTACTCTCGCTGGTTAAATTCTAGATTTTAACATGAAAATCACTTGCGAAATAAAAAGAATCTATACAGTACTACGTGATTTTTCAAAATAGAACAGTGTGCTTCCTTTTGCAAAACTCCAACTCTGTTGTACGTCTCATAATGACTCATATGGAAAATATCTTTCTAATGAAATATTTTACCAGTAGCGGTTGTTTTTGCTCATGAAAATTGAATTATTATGTTTCATGTACTTTATCTGAATGAAATTGCATTAAATAATATATAGGCTTTTAAATCAGGTGATGCAAATTTATCGATCGGTTGTATGTTTAAAAAATTGAAAATTAATATTTCATTAGTGTCATAATTGAAAAGCTATTCAAAATACGGTTAATGAGATTTTATACAATAAAAATGAGATTTAAAATGTTGAAACGGTTTCTGTATGCATTTGACGTTAAAGAGTGCATAAGAGTCGTTTAAAAGTACATAGGATGCAATCAGGAAACGTATTTTATTTTCTAATACTTAGCTACATTTATATGATAAACAAGATTATTTTGAAATTTTCAAAAACTTTAACACTAAACCTTCAATTGTATAGGCAAACAAGTTATTAAATTGATAAAAACAAGAATGTGTCCATAGTACACGGATGCACCACTCGCACTATCATTTGCTATGTTCAGTGGACCATGAAATTGGAAGTCAAAACTCTAATTTGCAATAAAAATTAGAAAGATCATAGCATAGGGAACATGTGTACTAAGTTTCAAGTTGCTTGGACGTCAACTTCATCAAAAACTACCTTGATCAAAAACTTTAACCTGAAACGGGACATACGGACGAACGGACGGACGGACGGACGAATGGACGCACAGACCGAAAAACATAATGCCCCTAGGTGGAGCATAAAAAAGGCAGTTCATTGCCGAGAGAGAGAGAGATAGATTTGCAGCTGTCATATAGTATGTGTTTCATTTTATATCATAGAAACAACTTATATAAATGTAGGGCTTACTTACTGTCTCAGGTAAGGAAATGTGATTGAAACGAGGGATATTTCTGCCCTTCAACTTCGTACTTTATTTGGCCTTTTTAATATTTTGATTCTAGCTTCACTGATGAGTCTTAAGTAAACGATACGCGCGTTTGGTGTACAACATTTTAATCCTGTATCTATGATGATTTTATTCACATTGATACATATTTAACCTTTAAGAAAATGATTATGTCTTATTATAACGAAGTTCATGTTATGTCCTTAAGGATTTTGCTTCATATGTGGAACAAATAAAATTTTCATGATGTTTATTATTATTAATATCGATTCCGTATTTTCTATATCATTAAAATTCTGTACGTTTTCAACAACATATTTGTCGAGTTTGGTGCTTTAATATTTCAACAAAGAATCGGTATTGCATTGGATACTAAATGTGCACCCCTACTGACAGACTTGTTCTTGTATTCATATGAAGCAAAATTCATAAAAAGAAATTTCTCATAGACAAAAAAACATCTTGACAAGTTCTTTAATTTTACGTTCATAATTTGTTTTATTGATGATGTCTTTTGTTATATATAAAAAAAACATAGTGCTTGCTTCTCCTCTATCCCAGTGAACTTGACCACTAGAACTAGAGGATTTGCTTCATCTGTATGTAGAACTTCATCTTGAAATTGACAGAGATGGACGATTTCAAGCTTAGATATACTAGTATAATAAATGTATTGATTTCAATGTCCATTGTCAACTTCCAATTTCTCAGTAGTTACACACACTCTGACCCATCGATAAGCATTTACTAATCTCAATTTATATTTGACTAACTCAAATGTTTACCATATATGAACTTTATCAACAGGGGTGCGCTTTTAACACAAAAACTTCTGCAATATGAGAAAAAACGAATCAGTAAAAAAGACTTCCATAACTATAAAATGATCGCATCACGAATCGGGAGACCGATACGATGTGTCTGTGTCTCAATCCTCGATAGAAAAGTTTTCTGCGGTCTTAAGTCTTAAGATATTAGATAGTTCCTTTGATTTGTAAATGCACCGATTGTGTCTTATCGCAAAATTTTGACTTAAGTCTGGATTGACATGGCGGGAGATGTATGCATAGCAGGAGACGCAAACCATGTCTTTTGGAATTTTGCGATGTCCTCAATTTTTTAGTTGGGCTTCATATCAAAAATGATTTATGTGTATGGACATATTTGCTACTTTAAGCTTGTTTCAGTAGCTGGGCATTTGTTGATATGACCGTATTGTCCCCATGCAACGCGTTGCCGGGGATACAGAAATACCGGGCCTCTGTTCGGTCTGGTAAGTGCTCCCACATGTACCGGTATTGTCATATTTTTATGAACTTTATATCAAAGGTATATAAGCAATATTTTGGACGGGTTCGAAAATAGGTTCTGATTAGTTATTTGTACAGGAGATATGTCCCTTAGAAAGGAATTTCAATAGGGAAACGCATTGGAAAAGTTCATGATATGTTCATTTGCTTTTTTGGGACATAAACGCATATAAAAGGAATATTTTGGTATTTATTTGTAATTGCAATACAATGATAGTGATCGTTCTTCATTACTATTACTATATCATGTCATCACGTTTGGTTCATATTATATCCATTTCAGGAGAAACTATTTAACTAAACGATGATTTCTGACGTCATTTAAACCCCTGCATCCTTGATCTGACAAGGTTATTATGACCACATGACATTTTTCAATCATTTGTTTTATTCTAATATACATTATTCAACCCTTCCTTCACAAATACATTAATTTATTAATTTATTATATCTATCTAAGCCGAAATATGTAAATTATCCTAATTAAGATATCAATTTCTTTGCTAGCGCGTCTGGTCTACAACATTTTAAACCTGGCATCTATGATGAGTTTATCTACAACCACTGGGTCGATGCTTCTGCTGGTAGATGCTTCCTCTCCAAGGGTATTACTAGCCCAGTAGAAAGTACTTGTGTATTGACAAGCATTATCGTTGATATGGTCATAATTATATACTTACTCTTCACAAAACTTTGAATTTG